GTTGATTTTTAAAGAATACTTTTTGGAGTCTCTATCCAAGGCGTGGATTTTTAAAGAATACTTTTTGGAGTCTCTATCCAAGGCGTGGATTTTTAAAGAATACTTTTTGGAGCCTCTATCCAAGGCGTGGATTTTTAAAGAATACTTTTTGGAGTCTCTATCCAAGGCGTGGATTTTTAAAGAATACTTTTTGGAGTCTCTATCCAAGGCGTGGATTTTTAAAGAATACTTTTTGGAGTCTCTATCCAAGGCGTGGATTTTTAAAGAATACTTTTTGGAGTCTCTATCCAAGGCGTGGATTTTTAAAGAATACTTTTTGGAGTCTCTATCCAAGGCGTGGATTTTTAAAGAATACTTTTTGGAGTCTCTATCCAAGGCGTGGATTTTTAAAGAATACTTTTTGGAGTCTCTATCCAAGGCGTGGATTTTTAAAGAATACTTTTTGGAGCCTCTATCCAAGGCGTGGATTTTTAAAGAATACTTTTTGGAGTCTCTATCCAAGGCGTGGATTTTTAAAGAATACTCTTTGGAGCCTCTATCCAAGGCGTGGATTTTTAAAGAATACTTTTTGGAGCCTCTATCCAAGGCGTGGATTTTTAAAGAATACTTTTTGGAGCCTCTATCCAAGGCGTGGATTTTTAAAGAATACTTTTTGGAGTCTCTATCCAAGGCGTGGATTTTTTAAAGAATACTTTTTGGAGTCTCTATCCAAGGCGTGGATTTTTAAAGAATACTTTTTGGAGTCTCTATCCAAGGCGTGGATTTTTAAAGAATACTTTTTGGAGTCTCTATCCAAGGCGTGGATTTTTAAAGAATACTTTTTGGAGTCTCTATCCAAGGCGTGGATTTTTAAAGAATACTTTTTGGAGCCTCTATCCAAGGCGTGGATTTTTAAAGAATACTTTTTGGAGTCTCTATCCAAGGCGTGGATTTTTAAAGAATACTTTTTGGAGTCTCTATCCAAGGCGTGGATTTTTAAAGAATACTTTTTGGAGTCTCTATCCAAGGCGTGGATTTTTAAAGAATACTCTTTGGAGCCTCTATCCAAGGCGTGGATTTTTAAAGAATACTTTTTGGAGTCTCTATCCAAGGCGTGGATTTTTAAAGAATACTTTTTGGAGTCTCTATCCAAGGCGTGGATTTTTAAAGAATACTTTTTGGAGTCTCTATCCAAGGCGTGGATTTTTAAAGAATACTTTTTGGAGTCTCTATCCAAGGCGTGGATTTTTAAAGAATACTTTTTGGAGTCTCTATCCAAGGCGTGGATTTTTAAAGAATACTTTTTGGAGCATCCAGGCGTGGATTTTTAAAGAATACTTTTTGGAATACTTTTTGGAGCTCTATCCAAGGCGTGGATTTTTAAAGAATACTTTTTGGAGCCAAGGCGTGGATTTTTAAAGAATACTTTTTGGAGTCTCTATCCAAGGCGTGGATTTTTAAAGAATACTTTTTGGAGTCTCTATCCAAGGCGTGGATTTTTAAAGAATACTTTTTGGAGTCTCTATCCAAGGCGTGGATTTTTAAAGAATACTTTTTGGAGTCTCTATCCAAGGCGTGGATTTTTAAAGAATACTTTTTGGAGTCTCTATCCAAGGCGTGGATTTTTAAAGAATACTTTTTGGAGACTCTATCCAAGGCGTGGATTTTTAAAGAATACTTTTTGGAGTCTCTATCCAAGGCGTGGATTTTTAAAGAATACTTTTTGGAGCCTCTATCCAAGGCGTGGATTTTTAAAGAATACTTTTTGGAGTCTCTATCCAAGGCGTGAATTTTTAAAGAATACTTTTTGGAAAGAATACTATTTATCCAAGGCGTGGATTTTTAAAGAATACTTTTTTTTAAAGAATACTCTTTTTGGAGTCTCTAAAGGCGTATTTTTAAAGAATACTCTCTTCTCAAGGATCTCTATCCAAGGCGTGGATTTTTAAAGAATATATTTTTGAACATTTTTGGAAGATCTCCTGAAGGCCTCTCCAAAGTCTGCATTTTTAAAGAATATGTTTCAGGAGTTTCTGAGGGCGTGGATTTTTAAAGAAAAATTTGTTTGGATTCTCTAATTAAGGCGTGGATTTTTAAAGAAATACATATTGGATCCGTTCGAACGCCTCCTAAAGCTGTAGTTTTTGAAATAATATTTTTAGAAGCCGTTCGAAGGCCTTCTAAAGTTGGCGAGTTTAAAAATATTTTTAAGTCTTGGATTTAAAAAAAACCTTGTTAGGAAGCCTTTTCCAGGTGTGTATTTATACCCTCCAACATAAGGTTGAGTGTATTTATAGCTTTCACCACACTGTGTTACATGGTATTATGTCTTTGTGCATATGTTTGTAACAGTCAAAAGGAAACGAAATAGACACATGCAGTGAAATTTTGCACATGCATAGAATCACTTTCTAGGATTTTGCATGTATTGCAAATGGTATATATAGGCCCACGTCTGTAGATGTTAAATTGTAAACAAAATACGTGTCGCATTTATGATTTTCGATTTCTTCCACAGAAATGGCTATAATTCTGTGTATTGGGTTCGCATTGAATAACACATATCCGTATCAAAAATTGGAAAAATATTGGTTCAGATTTAGATATAGCTCCCATATATATTTTCGACACGATTTATGGTAAATGGGGCACCAAAGTCCATCTAAAAATTACTATTTGCACGAAATTTGGCTATCAAAAATTAGGTCCAGAATGATGTGTGCCAAGTTTCGTGAAAATCGGTTCAGATTTATATATATTTCACATATATATTTTCGTTCATATTTTTCAATGTAAATGGTTTTCACCAAAGTATTTTGATATCATTCGATTTGCATGAAATTTGGCAGAGAGTACCGAATTAGGTGCAGAAATATGTGTGCTATGTTTCGTGAAAATCGGTTCAGATTTAGAAATAGCTCCCATATATAGATTTGCCCGATTTTAAGTAAATAGTCCACTAAAGTCCCTATATATCATTCGATTTGCATGAAATGTGGCACAGCGTAATGAATAAGGTCTAGAATGATGTGTGCTAAGTTTCGTGAAAATCGGTTCAGATTTAGATATAGCTCCCCCCATATATATTTTCGTCCAATTTAAGGAAAAGTGTGTACCGAAGTTCCTATATATATTTCGATTTGCACGAAATTTGGCATAGCGTACTGAATTAAGTGTAGAATGTTTCCCTGAAATCAGTTCAGATATAGATGTATAAAAAAGACGCGACGTCTTTTAGGATATATATGTAGAATATACCCAAAGTTGTGAAGGGTATCATATAGTCGGCCCACTCGGACTTTACTACTTTCCTTACTGGTCAGGAATATTTTTTTTTAGGCCGTCCCAATGCTTGGATTTTTGTAAAATATTTTTGGAAGGTTATTTCAAGGTCTGAATAGTTTTCAGAAAAGCAAGTCCTGATTTTGTGGATTTTTTAAGAACATTTTTTTTTTGGAAATTCTCAAGGTTTGGTCATTTGTAGAATATTCTTTTGGAAGTTCTCAAGGCGTAATTATTTATAGATTATTATTTTTGGAGTCAAAGCCAACCTCAAAATCCGCTTCTTTACAATATTCTTGGAATATATAGCCATACTCCAGGAAGGTATTTGTGAAACAATTTTTGGAGCCGTACATTTTCAAAGAAATTTTTGGGCCTCTAGCCAAGAAGTAGATTTAAAATTTTTTTGAACCTCTACTCAACTTCAAGATGGGCTCTTGTAGAGAATATTTTTGGAGCCCCGTCCTACATTATGTAGATTTTTAATGGATATTTTTCAGTCATTAGTCAATCTTCTTTTCGTACATTCTTCAAGAGTTTTGGAAGCCCTAACCAACATCCCAGACTTCAAAATCTAAGGAGAATATGTTTATAGAATTTTTGAAGTCCCTAGAAACCCTGCAGGACGTGGATTTAAAATATATTTGTTTTAACCTCTTGCCAACCTCCAAGACGTGGAAGAATATTTTAGACTTCTTGTGAATAAAATCGTTTTTCTCGGAAATTTGTCAATATAATTTCATGTTATTATATAGTCCCCATATAATGGTTCCGCTTAATTTTCAGTATGTTGAATTTTCAAGCCAAGTTTTCCAATTTGAGTGTGTGTAATTTGGTATTGAATTTTCTCAGAGTACAGAAAACTTACTGGCAGATATTTGTCCTCATATGAAGGTCCCAACCGAATTAAGGAATTTTGAATTCCACCCAAATGGTGAGTGTAATTTTTTACTCTTGACCGACTTACTTCCGAAATACACCACATGCCTAAATAATAAATAAATAAAACACCCTATGCTCCATCTGGAGCTAATGATTGTGAAGACAATAAATCAAGCTTGCGGGGTTAAAATAGAACATAAATTTAAAAATAAAATATTTTTTTCGAAATTTCCCTTGACAATTAGAAAAACTATTATTTCAAATTTCCAATCATTTTTCTGGTGGTGACAATTTTTTTATTTATTTATCAATTTTTTAAAGAACCCCAATTATTTTGTAACATTTTCCCATTTACTTCTAAATTTTTAATTGAAATATTTTTCATGAGATCTCAATTAAGCTGTAATTTATCAACGACAACAAATCGATGCACCACGAAGTGACTTCTTTTTTTGTTTTGTACAGCCAACATATTTACCACGAATTGAAAGTGAAGTTCTGATGGCTGGACGATCCTTCTCCTCATCCTATCATAGCAATAATGTTTGTTTATGCTGTTCTTATCGTGGCTGGATAAGACCAAACTATCCATTGTGGCCTTGAGTTAACCTTCCTTTTCAAAACACACACAAAGATACACAAAGATAGAGGGAGAACGAGAGAATACTAATCAAAAAAAATATTAACGAAGTGAAAACAAAAAAACGTCAATTTCTATTTTTCAGAATTCTCAATGATCTCAATCATCTATCACCAGCATGGACAGAGGCATATCTGCAGGTTTTATCAGCCCACATAGTCCCAAAAGTACTTCATAAGACACACACACAGACGCACACACACTCAAAATCACTCACTCACAAGCAATACAACACACCACTCCGCACACTGAATCCCAAAACAAACACAGCAGGAATAAAATAATAATTGGTATGGGATTGGGTATGACAACCAACTCATTGACGACTACACTGAACTGGACGTTCAAGTGATCATTTATCCAGGCTAAGAACAGCTACAACAAAAACAACGACATCAACAACAACTGAGAGAAAAAAAACATGTGTGCCAGTTGTCTGTACCAGTTGCCCCGTAAGTGATAGGAACAAATTAAAGGTTCTTCTCTTTTATGGTCGGGGTATGCTCGTGACACTTTTTTGGGCCTGCATCACATTTGTATTCTGTTGCCTAACCCTGCCCTGCCCTCATAAATACACACATGGGTTATCTATCGTCTTGTTATTTTGGGTAACTGAAATTACGGAGCGGATAACAATCTCCGAAGGATTGTCTTTAAGGCCCTGGAGAAATATATTCCTCTATTCAAGGCGTGGGCTATTTTTACACCTAGAGGTTGACTATGGCCTGGAGCCTATATTCAAGGCGTGGATTTTTAAAGAATAAAAGAGCCTTCTGGAGCCTCTATTCAAAATCGGTGGATTTTTGAAAGAATATTCTGGAGCCTCTATTCAAGGCGTGGATTTTTAAAGAATATTCTGGAGCCTCTATTCAAGGCGTGGATTTTTAAAGAATATTCTGGAACCTCTATTCAAGGCGTGGATTTTTAAAGAATATTCTGGAGCCTCTATTCAAGGCGTGGATTTTTAAAGAATATTCTGGAGCCTCTATTCAAGGCGTGGATTTTTAAAGAATATTCTGGAGCCTCTATTCAAGGCGTGGATTTTTAAAGAATATTCTGGAGCCTCTATTCAAGGCGTGGATTTTTAAAGAATATTCTGGAGCCTCTATTCAAGGCGTGGATTTTTAAAGTATATTCTGGAGCCTCAAGGCGTGGATTTTTAAAGAATATTCTGGAGCCTCTATTCAAGGCGTGGATTTTTAAAGAATATTCTGGAGCCTCTATTCAAGGCGTGGATTTTTAAGGCCTGGATTTTAAAGAGCCTCTATTCAAGGCGTGGATTTTTAAAGAATATTCTGGATATTCTGGAGCCTCTATTCAAGGCGTGGATTTTTAAAGAATATTCTGGAGCCTCTATTCAAGGCGACTTTTTATACCGTCCATTTTTAAGTGGACATTGCGAGAACTATATACTAAAGCTATGTCAAAGCATAGACTCATAGCGAACATTAAGATAGACGGACATTTAATTGATTAAACCTCTTGAAATCAATTAAATGTCCGTTTATCTTCGACTTCGAGGATATAAAAAATTATAGAAAATATTAATTTTTTATTGAAAAAAAAACGTTTATTAATCATTACATCCTGAACTATAATTTTTATTAGTCTTCTTAATTTTTCATTAACTCATCTTCTAAACTTCGTACGATACTCAAGTAAATCAAATTGTGTTTTTTCCAATTTTTTCTATTGCCCACACAGAATCCCTAATGTTGCAGCTAGCCCATCCTGCCGAGGTGTGAAATATGAGCAAATTATTTACGAAACGCCTTCTACTTCTACGAACAATCACACAAATCACATTCGAAAGTACTTTTACAAGAAATACAAAAAAAAAAAAAAAAAAAAAACACAACAAGGACTCTACGTCTTTGTGTGTGATATGCAACACATTATCCCAACAATGAATGGAAGAGGATAACGACAACAATTGAAAATCAGGGTAGCTGGCACGTGGTTTACATGACAACAAGATGAAGAAGAAAAACCACTGGTCCAGTTACCCATCAACCTCAATGGTTGTAAATTTTGAAGTGTGTGGGATGTTCGACGGATCGTTCGTGTGTGTATGTGTGCGTGCGTGTGGGTCATTTCATATTCAGGGACACAGCTGGTGTTCCTTTTATTTTTGTTTTCCATTTTCTGCTGGCTTTCTTTTGAAAGGAAATTTTTACAACAACAAAACTGAAAAAACACAAAGGGAATTACAGATAAATATTGAATGACGATTGTTGAAGAAGTGAAGATGCTGATTCTTGGTACTATTAATTATCTGTTTTGGGGTCTGAAATGAGAAACAAAAAATTACCAAAAACAAAAAACACTTAAATACACACAAATGACAACAAATACAGAAACTAATACAGTGGTCGGCATAGTTATACTGACAAATGGATTTTGAGTTTGACCGGACCAACTTTTTATAACCTCTATCAAGAGGTGAATATTTAATATAAACCGATCGGAATTTTTATATGGAGGCTATACCATGACTAAATTGTTGCCAGAAGAAACCCGAATACCAAACTACAGACAACCAAGGCCTTGAACATACCGAACATTAGACCTCGTATGAGGGCTATGTAGAAACATGAACTTATATTGACAAAATATCCCTTAAGATCTGATTTACCCACGAAGATTCTGGAATGATTCTGGAAGTTGGAGGTATTTTTTATTCTATAGGATAGATAGGTATTCCTCTTCCTGTGGAAGAGCTGCAGGTAGTCTTCTTCCGTTGAAAGGCTTCAGAAACTATTTTCCATTAAATTTTCTATGAAGGTGCAAGTTTTAATGTAGCTCCCATATAAAGGTATCCGATGCATGTTAGGTATTTTACAATTTTTTTTACAAATTATTAGGCGGATTTTCGCCCTCAGGTGTCTCCAATTTGGCATTTCGGATTTTTTTGATAGATATTTCGATATAGCTCCATATTAAGGTCTCCTTTATTTTCGGTATTTTTGTAGGTTTTAGGTTTCTCTCCACGGCGTACCCTATTAAAATTCTGCTCAGTTTATATATATGTATATATAAGTCCCATATATATTTTCCGATTTCATCTATATGATGCATCAAATGCCAAACGTTTCTTCTACGACGTAAATTAGTGCTGGTAAATTTTTTATACCCTTCACCCTCCTTATATATCTTTCGATTTCCACGAAATTTGGTACAGCGTACTGAATTAGATCTACAATAATGTGTGTTAAGTTTCTTGAAAATCGGTCCAGATTTAGATATAGTTCCCATATATATTTTCGTCCGATTTAATGTATATATATTTTATGTATATATATTTCGATTTGCAAGAAATTAGGCACAGCGTAATGAATAAGGACTAGAATGATGTGTGTTAAATTTCGTGAAAATCGGTTCCGATTTAGATATAGCTCCCATATATACATCTTCGTCCGATTTAATGTAATTGGTGTATCAAAGACCCTATATATCTTTCGATTTCCACGAAATTTGGTACAGCGTAATGAATAAGGTCTAGAATGATGTGTGTTAAGTTTCGTGAAAATCGGTTCAGATTTAGATATAGTTCCCATATATACATCTTCGTCCGATTTAAGGTAAATTGAGTACCAAAGTCCCTATATATCTTTCGATTTGCACGAAATTTGGCACAGCGTAATAAATAAGGTATAGAATGATGTGTGTTAAGTTTCGTGAAAATCGGTTCAGATTTAGATATAGTTCCCATATATATTTTCTTCCGATATTATGTAAATTGTGTGTCCGTTTGCCACACAATTTTGTACAATGAACTGTAGTTAATCTCTGGCATGTCTCATTGAAATCGGTTCAGATTTTGATATAGCTTCTACATATATATTTTCGTCCGATTTTACCCCAAATTTTGCACAATGTACTGATGTTAGTATAACCTAGAGGTGGGATATAAATGCTTCAACAAGGTGGGTCCAACCGGCACAAAATATTGCACTACGTACTGAAGTTACTACAACATAAGAAGCAACCCTATATCTGACCAAATGAAAAATTTAGTATAGGTGGCAGAATGACATGTTTATGGATTCAGTTTCATGTTAATGGTCCTTCAAAAATTCGATGTCTGTTCGACGTTTAAATCCGTTTCTAAGGACCTTCAATATTTTTTTTTAATACCGGGTTCAAAGAACACTTAAATTTTGTGATAGGCTTTTGATAGGTCCTTACAAAATATTTCTTTAAAAATCCACGCCTTATAAAAGGTCCTTACAAAATATTTCTTTAAAAATCCACGCCTTATAAAAGGTCCTTACAAAATATTTCTTTAAAAATCCACGCCTTATAAAAGATCTTTAAAAATATTTCTTCCAAAATCCGCGCCTTATAAAAGGTCCTTAAAATATTTCTTTAAAAATCCACGCCTTATAAAAGGTCCTTACAAAATATTTCTTTAAAAATCCACGCCTTATAAAAGGTCCTTACAAAATATTTCTTTAAAAATCCACGCCTTATAAAAGGTCCTTACAAAATATTTCTTTAAAAATCCACGCCTTATAAAAGGTCCTTACAAAATATTTCTTTAAAAATCCACGCCTTATAAAAGGTCCTTACAAAATATTTCTTTAAAAATCCACGCCTTATAAAAGATCTTTAAAAATATTTCTTCCAAAATCGGCTCCTTATAAAAGGTCCTTAAAATATTTCTTTAAAAATCCAAGCCTTATAAAATTTCCTTACAAATAATGAAATCTTGCCAATTTCTCAAATGAAATCTTGCCGACCACTGTACCTTTCCTTCCAACCGTACATCAAACAAATATTTATTGACAATTTAGTGTGACACAATATGGGATAATGTACAAGAGGACAACAACAAAAAGAACAACAACAGCAACAACAAACAATGATGATAAAGTCAGAAGCGTCTTTAAGGGCTACACCTTTATACGACTGCTGCTGCTGGTGATTGAGTCCAACTCAGGTAGCCAACCCTGCCGGTTTGTTTGGCCGCTGTTGTTCGATCTTCAATCAGCCTATCAGCCTTTTGTCTTTCTCTCCCTCACACACCGAGTTTTCAAAACGACAATATCTTAAGACCATAAAACAGTGGCTTTACATTTTTAATGTGTCTACCGCTGTTGTATGCCACTTTGTCTTCTTCTTCATCTTTCTAGGCTGGGTTTTTTATTTGTTTTCATTTCAATTCAATTCGATTTTTTTAATTTATGGTTTATTGCTGACATGTCCCCACCAAAGATGACAATTTCCTTTATTATCGATGAGTGTAAATGTAGGGGTATTTGTTTTCATGTGTGTCTCTGTGTGTGTGTGTAAATGTCGTTTGTATTTGTTGTTTTTCTTTTTGAGAAATTTATGACTGATCCGCTAAATATTGTTTTTTTTTTATTTCGTTC